TAGAACCTTTGTCAGTGTCAGCCATGTGGATGAGTCAGGCCCTTGCTTGGCCACTGTGCTCTCTGTGAAAGCCTGAGAGAATGTTTTCTCTCCATGTGACTCTCCTTAGGCACACTCTACATCATGGATCACTTTCCTCTTTGGACCCCATAATCTCTTTGATCAGAAAATTTGGGACAGCATTGTCTTTTTCACATACAAAAATACTGAATTAAAAAGAAAGCCATCAATACTGGTTTTTTAAAAAGCAAAACATGGCATTTAAGCACAATGGCAAAATCAATGAGGGGTCTGCCGGTGCTGGAAGTACGTTGCATTCCCCAAGTATCGTTTATTGTTCAGAAAACAAAATGAAACAACTGTGTCCGCGCGGCACCTCGGGCCTCCCACGGAAGCTGACACCAGCCAGGGTGGCGCGGTGATTCCGGGACGTCGTGTGCATTTGCAGCTGAACCCGCTCCTCCTGCCGCGCTTTGCCGCCACCTGTAAGCGGCAGCGCCATAATGAATGGCACTGTTTAAGTGGCTGGGCCGGGACCCAAGGTTTTCTCAACGCGGCTCAGCCTGTGAAGCGGTGGGCATTTGGGGAAGCAGGATGACAGCCAGGAACCTCCCGCTAAAGGACTGGAGGCGCGCGGGTCAGGCCACGGCGTGGAGGACCCAGCGCAGGCCCTGGTGCGGCAGTTTCCGGCCACACAAAGAGCCCGCGGCCGCGTGCACTAGAAGCGGCTTAGCCTCACCCGAGGCCCGGCGACCCGAGGGCATGGACAAAGGGGCTCCGGGGAGGGCCCCGCGGTGCGGTGGGGTGCGGCCGCCCGGCGCCCCCTGGCGTCTCGGAGCCCGGCCCGCGGGGTGACGCGCTCCCGGAGCCCCCTGCGCCCCCTGTGCGCAGCCCGGGAGCCGTGGGAACTGGCGCAAGAGGAAGGCTAGGCGCCGCGGCGGAGGCGGCAGGCCTCCTCAGCGTCCCCGGAACGGTAGCAGCTGCCTCAAGCGGAGTGGGAACGCAGCGGGCTTGGCACGGCCCAGGACCCAGCTGCGGAGCGGGAGCTGCGAGTTCCCCGGTCCCGAGCTCCGAGCGCGCCAGCCGGGACGCGGGGACGCGGGGCGAGGGTGGCCCCGGGCGCCTTCCGTTTGGAGGAGCCGCACTCCTGGGAAGGGACAGGGAGCTGTCAATCAGCAAGGGAGGGAGCGCAGCGGCGCGGGTGATGTCAGCGGATCACAACAAAGAGGGGGGATTCCGGGAGAAAGTTGCGGTGACCACGGCGACACCCCAGGGCCAGGGGGACCGGGGGAGGGGACTCAGCCCCGGCGCAGACTTTGGGGGCCGAGGGACTGAAAGGGCCGCGGGGGGAGGCTGGGCGAGCGCGCCCGGCTGCTCCTCCTCTTCCTCCTCCTCCTCCGGACTCGCAGGGCTCAGCCCCCAGCTCGCTCAGCCGCCGGGAGCGCCGGGAGGGACGGAGGCAGCGCGGCCGCGAGCCGGGCAGTCTCCGCCGCCATGGACAGCGACGACGAGATCGTGGAGGAGGCTGTGGAAGGTACGCGCGGCCCCGGAGCCCCGGCCCGGGGAGGAGGGAAGGAGCGCGGGCCGGGCCCAGGGCGCCACCGTTCCTGCGCGACTGGCCGCGGAGGGCTGGGGAGGGCCCGACGACCACGGCCACACTGCCGGGAGCGCGCAGGCCGCGGACGGAGCCCAGGGGACGCGCTGCTGCGGCTTCGTCCAGCCAGCCCCCGCCTGCAGCCTCCGGGAGCGCCGTGCCCCGGGACTCGGGGGAGCAGCCCCCCATCCCGGGTTTAGCAACCGCGGTCCTCTCGGCCACCGGCCCTCTCCTTCCCCTCGCTGCCGGCTCCCGCGGCTACCGTGGTCGCGTCCGGTCTGTCCCCCGGACGCAGCGCGCGGGCTGGACCGGGCACGTGGCGGCCGCTCTGCCCCGAGAGGATGAAATCACTGCTGGCCGGGACCACACTCGGGTCGGACCGGGACGCGGCGGCCCTGCCCTGCGCTGACCCGAGCGCCCCCTCCCCCAGCCGGCCTCAGCGCGGTGCAGTGCGGGCGCCCGAGCCCCGCTGGAACCGCGGGTGACTCTCAACTTTCCGAATCCCATGCCGCTGGCCGGTGATCTCACCGCCTCGGCTCGGGTCTCTCCGCCCCTAGTCCCCTGGCGCCCCTCCCCGGGCTGTTCTGTTCTCGACACTTTGTTTTGCTGAGTTTCTCCACCTCTCCCCCCCCCCTTTTTTCCCCTTAGTTTTGAAGAATGATGTAGGGACGTTATACAATCTCGTTGCTTGTACCCTGAGATGTTATGATTTTGTAACAGCGAATACTGAGCATATTTGTTCGATTCTACTCCAAACAGTGCGTCGTGATATTTTGCAATGTGGTGTAGTTATTATTCTAGAATATTTTCAACCAAGCCTCTCAGTAAATAATTTTTAGCTGTCGGTTGAACTTTGTTTTTGTCTAATTTATATAAACAAGTTCTCACAAACAACAAGGAAAAATAAAGTGCCAGAGCTCTGCAGATGCATAAAGAATGTGTCTTTAGCGCTACATGAGGAGAAATCAGTTTTTATATCTCCATAAACAACCCTTTTGCGTGCTCCTGAAGTGTTAAGGCGAGATGAAGCAGAATGTTTCTGGCATTCGCTAAACGGGCTCCAATGTAATGTAAATATAAACACATATTTCTTTATCTATTTCCAAAGCCAATTAAGTGTTCATTTTAACGTCACATTTTTACTGTTCCGAGCTCACAGCGATTGTCTGTAACAAGTACATTTGGTGTTAGATTTAGGGAGGCCAAAGCAATGGTCTGGGCTGGTCCCCAGGGAGCATTTGAAAATTCTGCGCATCGTGAAAGAAAACAAAACACTCCTCTGAAATTGTTAGGATTGCCTTCCATTCCTCAAAGTTTGTTTTTACTTGTAAGAACTTAATACAACAAAAATTTCATGCAAACCGTGGATTACAGGTAATACCACCCAGATTTAAATCACCTTCCCTTTTTGTAACTATTCAGAAGGCTAAGGTCCCATTTCCCATGATCCTTGGGCTCCTTTAAGAAAAAGTGAACAAGAGCTTTAGAAATATCTGTGTTGTTTTTGAGATTAGATTAGAAACAGGGACATTTCTTTATATAGTTATATAGGGTGAATATATATATAAATAAGTACATTCTTGTGAGCACTATTAATAATTATGCTAGGACAACTGGCTTCAGCCTTGAATGTCTTGGGCGATCTGGGACACATACTCAGTTGCATCTAACCTTATACAATTAGAGTAACTTTGAATTTGCATGTATCTGGTGGTGTCAGGGATACAAGCCAGGGCCTCCTGCATGCTAGGCAGCAGCCTTCCCCTGAGCTACACCCTCAGCCCTAGAATACCTTTTTATCTTTAAAAATCTTTAGAACATCCAGGCAAGGTGGTACAAGCCTATAGCCCAGCAACTGGAAAGGCTGAGCAGGACCATGGCTTGAACCCAGCAGCCTGGGCCAAGCTCTGGGACGCAGTGAGAGACCTTGCCTCAACAGAGAGAAACCTTCCAGGGGCCTCAGGCTCAGACATGCGCAGCATCTAGAACACACATGTGCACACAGTACATTGCGCCCGCAGGACTCGCTAGTGCTTCTCATCCTTTTTGCTGCTCGTCCAGTGGTCTTTGTTTAATGTCTAACCAGTGTGGGGGAGGGGTGCAAATGGCTTATGGTCTTTTCCTAAAGAGAAACAAGCCTGAGTGTGTTGGTGTGTAAATGCCAACGAATCTACCTCTCTCCACAGACTGCCTCTCTCAAGAGACGCAGCCTCTCTTCTCAGTGGTTTCATTGTCACAGCTGTTATTCTCGTTGCTGTAATTTTTTTTCCATCACTGTAATTGTTTAGCTCCTATTATGTGCAGGTTCTGTGCCACAGAAGTGTTTCACAGACCTTACCCAGTCAGTCTCAGGAGATGGGTACTAATAGTGTCCCAGGTGTGCAGAGATGACACAGAGAGGAGTTCAAAACTTATCCAAAAGCAGTGAGGAGGGCAGGAAGATGGCTGTGAGTTCAAGGCCGGTGTGGAGTCCTGACCACCCTCTGCCAGGCTAAACTATGCTACATCCTTAATCTTTGATGAGTCAGTCAAGTACATGAACTACTTGGTAACCGGGCTAAGAAGTACTCTGTTGGCACCAGCCTTTATCAGTGTAACTCTTCAGATACTGTTTCTCATAGAATTCAGTGTCTTGCAGGAAAAGGCATGTGAGAAAAGGGAATTTGACATTCAGCCTCTACAACAGACTTTTTTTTCTCCTTATTAGAAACTTATGTAATTCCAGCATTTGGGAGGCTGCAGCAGGACTAATTGCTGCAAGTTCAAGGCCAGCCTGGGTTACAAAGTGAGTTCAAGGCTAGCCTGAACTACATAGTGAAGCTCTGCCAAAAGAAAGAGAAATTTATACTGGGGAAAAAACTGGCCTCTTTAGAGCTCAAGTTTAAGTCCCTTGCACATCATATACTGCATTACTGTATGTGTTGGAGCTCTGTCAAGATAGAACTGAAAACTGAAGGTCAGTGAGTTCCTGAGGGAAAGTGGGGACAGGAGAGGATGTGTCAGGAGGGAACAGTTTGTGTACCTTTATCTGCCTTGCTTCTGCTCCTTTGTGGAGGCCACAGGCCCAGGGCTGCACAGGGCCTGAAAACTCCAGGTGAGTGAGCTTGCTTGCCTGTCTGCCTGCCTGCCTGCTTGCTTGCTTGCTTTTTCTTTCTTTCTTTCTTTCTTTCTTTCTTTCTTTCTTTCTTTCTTTCTTTCTTTCTTTCTTTCCCTCTTTCAATCTGAGATAGACTTGCACCATGTTGTCCAGGCTGCCTTGGAATTTCTGAACTCAAGCAATCCTCCTGCCTCAGCCTTCTGAGTAGTTAGGACTACAGATGTGTGCCCCACCCCAATTCATTGTGGCTTAGTCTAAGGGTCCAGACTACAGCAGTGGTGGTACATAGCTGTAATCACAGCATTTGAGATGCTAAGGCAAAAAGATGGCTGTGGGTTCAAGGCCAGCCTGGGCTACATAGTGAATTCGGGGCCACCCTGAACTGCATAGCAAAATCCAGTCTCAAATAAACAAACACACACAGAGTGAAGTACTTATGATTCTGTTGAAAGTAATGTCTTTATTTTCCAATGTTTTTTTTTTCAGGACCTTTGGAAACATAGGTACATTTGTATCTGTTTCTTTGCTTGTTTGTTGATACAAAGGTGAACACAAAGTGGTTTAATACCAGTTCAAGTAAATACATGGACTCTACATAGAGGAGTTGGGAGGGTTTAGAAAAAATAATATTGCACTTGGGGAAGTGGGTGGGACAAGACTTTCCAGAAGAGGTGGCAGATTTGAGTGGAGAGGGGGACGTGGTGGGGGCAGATGTCAGGCTACAGAAGGTACCCCTTCAGTTCTGAGGGGACAGGCTTTGACAGAGAGTGGGGAGGGAGGAGCTGAGAGCACCTGTGGCATGCTGGTGCCTGGCCATAGTGTGCAGGGCAGTCACCTCAGGCTGCGCAGCCACCTCCAATGCCGTGATGAGGACAGGCTAAGCGTGAAAGGCCTGGAAACTTGTAGGAGATGGGGGGAAATGCCCCAAAGGGGAAGTATCACCATCCCCAGAACAAGGGGCCAGGCTGAAAACAAGTTGCTCAGTGTTGCTTTGCCCAAAGCCCTCAAAATAGCAAAAGCATTTCTCCTAACACCCCCAGCACCCAGTGCGGCCAGACTGTAACCTGACACACGGGCTCAGGGCCTAGTGGCAGCTGCACCTTGTGTACCACATATAAAAATCATGATCATAGCAAAGAGCCATCCTCAAGAGTTTCTGACATTGCTGACAGTGTGTGTGAGTGTGTCCCGAGGGCCTGTTCTCTGCATTTACTGCTTGCCTGTGCTTGCCTATGGTTATGACTTTTGGGAGGCTTTGTGGGGTCAGCAAATCCCACAGCTTGTATAGGGTCTCTGGTTCTGAGGGAAACACACACACCCGCCCTCAGGTCACTGGCAAGAAAGCCCGAGGCAGCTGGCGCCAGGTCCAGGTCTCGAGGGAATTTCCTGTCACACAGAATGCAGGCCTGGCTGCCATTGCCCAGGGAAAAACCTTGCTCAGAAGGGACTTAAGGGAGCAAGGTAGCTTTCCATCCACTCAGTAGGTAATGATGACGAAGGGCAAAAGTAGACTTGGGAAACTGTTGCTTTTCCTTTGTCTGTGTCCGATAAATATGCAGCCAGATGCAGATCCAGAGCCGATGTTCCACTAGGGGCTGTCGCCTGACTTGGCACACTCTGCAAACTGACCTCAATCAGAGGCAGGAGGATGGGCGTTTCTCTCTCTCAGTTAGGTAACACTGGCAAGGGACAGGAATGTGCAACCAGGATATGCCGTTGAAATCTCTTGGCAGTCCTGAGAGGATTATCTTGGCCACAAAACTTTGTCTTCCACTTCTCTGTGAGGGGACTGTGAAGTCCTATCATTTAGAGCAGCCTCGTTCTACTCTCAGCAAGAAAGGAAGGCTGTGCAGGCGGCTTGCTCTCTCTAGAGAGAAAGCAAAACCATTTGGAGAAAGGGCCCTCGGCAGACCCTAGTGCATGCTGTGCTTCCTATGGCGCTGGGCCTTCCTCTGCAAAATGGGAATTTGGGAGATTGCTGGGAGATTTAAATTTAATAGGAAAGCACTTAGCCCCAGGACAGGATATTTTTTCTTCTCTGTTTATCAATAACTCTATTAAATACCCCAGCTCCACATGCCTTACCAGACTCGCCCTTAAGGCAGCCTGAGCCAGCCAAAACAATAAAATAAAATAATAAAAAATAAGTTGACTACACCCCAGCACTTGGGAGGTTGAAAACAGGAGGATCACTACGAGTCCGATCTGTGTAGTGAGACCCTGTAGACCCTTTAAATACATTAAAAAAAAAAAAGTTGACTATCACTACTTGACCCAGTGTCACATGATCCTACTGTCCAAATAGCACTGAACAGGCATGCAGAGTGGAAATACTGAGTGATCACACCCTCTTCTAGTTTCTAGCTCATTTAATTGATCACATCCTAAGGATACAGAGACAAGGAAAGAAGACTGGTCTACTGGATTTTAGAACTCTCACAAGCAGCCTAAGCCTCCAGAGTGGCAGGGAAGGGGCTAGGGATACAGTCCGCGGTGGGCGCTCCCCTAGCATGCACAAGGTCATGGGTTCCAACCCCAGCACTGGGGGAGGAGTTCCCGTGATGAACAGAATTGTGTACTGCAAACATGTGCTAAGAAAAAGAATTTTAAATGTCAGGAAAAGGCCACATGTACCTCTTCCTAACTGCACGTCAGGCAAGCTCTAACACTGAGCTACACCCCAGGTCCCCTAGCAAGGGGGAACAAAAGGAAGAAAGAGAAGGGGGGGGCACTGAAATGGGTCTCCCGCTTAGAGCAGGGTTGAGATTTTTGTTGTCTCTTTTGGGATCAGTGCAGTGCTTTTCATGTGTTATCCACACCTCCCGGTTTCTCTTTTTTTATTTTATTTTTTTTGTTTTTGGTGCCAAGGACCAAACCTAGGGCTTCCAGCTTGCTAGGCAAGCATTCTACCGCTGAGCCAAATCCCCAGCCCCCCGGTTTCTCTTAATAGCCAGTTCTGCGGCCCCTTTGCTGATTTCTTCAGAAATGGGACATGGTAGAAGTGGAGTGACTTTATATTGCAGTGTTTAGCCTTTCATGTACATGGCTACCGTAACATCTCTTGATCTAAAATGGAGTAAAATATATCAAAACA